TGTGTTGTTGTGTGTGTGTGTGTGTGTGTGTGTGTGTGTGTGTGTGTGTGTGTGTGTGTGTGTGTGTGTTGTGTGTAAGAGACAGAGATAGAGTCAGAGTGAGTATGAGACAGATGAGACAGATAGACATAGAGAGCGTGAGTATGAGCATATATGCCACAGTGCATGTGTGGAGGCCAGAGGATAATCCCCAGGAGTTATCTCCTTGTACCATGTGGCTTCTAGAGATGGAACCCGGCTGGCAGCAAGCACCTTTACCTACTGAGCCATCTCACTGGCCTCTACTTATTTTTGAGGCTAAGAAGTGAACACAGCTCTGTGGCTTAAGGCATGAGACAGGTGGATCAGCATAGTCTCCCACAGGGGGTTGGTGTAACTTAATGGACTGTGTCAATGTGAAGGTCAAAGTCAGTAGAATTCCCTGATGACTCGGAGGAACGGTTCCTAGTGTACAAATAGGTTCAGAGAACAGAAGAGGCACTAGTGGCTTTCTACTCCTATTCTACATGTATTACGTTGTATTTCAAAAGCTACACTCGTGGAAACAACCGGATCACACAGACCAGCAGGTACCATGTAACTTTCTTTGAGGGGCTGGGGATGAGTCAGTAGCAGAGCATTTACCCAGCATGCAGAAGGCCCAGTTCCATTGATGATATCACCACCACCACCAAACTCACTAATTTTCTGTTGGGAAATGGGAGAGGTTTGAACAACTATCCTACCCGTACACAGAAGAAGGCTTATCAAAGTGTGACCAGGGTCAGCATAGACAAGAACAGCAAAAGTTAAAACCCAAACCCCTGGGTCTCTTGAAGTTAGCATCAAATCACAAGTGAGTCTGTATTCTGAAGGCAGAAGAAAGGCACAAATCAAAGCAGATTCCATAACATAGAGCAAACACAGGGGATGCCCATGTGCACTGAAGATGCTTTTAAGTAAAAATATCTTACATAAATAGTTGAGAAAAAGGAGGAGCAATTAACAAAAACTAGAAAGAAAATGGAGTCCTTTTTAAAAAGAAGTGTACTCTTTGCCCCTAATTCAAAGTGAGAGGGCAAGTGGGGATGGTGTTCTCTCGTCTTGAGGGGCATTTGCTTTCCAGGAACTGAGTGCTAAGATGTTTCAACTACAATGAGAGGCTGCTGACTCAGAGCTGAAGATGGTTTCAGTTTGGGTGTCCTTACACATGACCAACCATTCCAGGTGTGTGTGCTATTCACTAAAAGAATTAGTACAGTGAGCAAAACTGTGCTGGGTCCCTGGATTCACGACAGCCTCGGAAGATCCCTCCTGTCTCTCAATTGTAAACAGCTAAAGGACTCTCTTGAGTTGATCCCACTATTGAGATCTTCCTCTTTGAGATTACTAGGGTCAAGCAAAAAAGCCCAGGGGCTGCTGTTACAAATGTGACATGTTCACAGAAGTGGAGCTGTGTGTGGCTCTCCAGGATACCCCAGTGTTTCCTACTCTGTCTCTAACATCTTTTCATGATCCTCTGCCAAACTTGCCAGGTGAGCTGTGCCTCCATGAGCTGCCCACATCACCAGCAACAGCCTCACTGTGAACGTAAAATGGAAACTCCAAACCATCTATATCAGGAATTCTGGGAAAAGGGCACATGGATGCTTGACCAGGGCTGGATACCAAGGGTGGCCCGTGTGGTGGAAGACAACTGTACAAGAAGATTCCAGCATGAACTCCATGCTTGGCAGTCTCTGGCCTCTGCTAACAGACCCTCTTAAGATGGCTCACCATAATGCACTCAAAGTTGAAATCACAATGTATATCCAGCTAGGCCTATAACAAGGTGGTGATGTTCCAAGCACTTTTGGTAGCAGGAAGGAAATCTGGGTGCCCATAAGGCCACCAGCTCTTAGACTCAGAAATCAGTGACCACCACACCAGGTCCCACTGCTACTTCAAGCAGTGTCAGGATACTTGGATGCAAGTCATTTTTCATCTGGCCACTGCTTGTGCCTTTCTGAGGATGGAGCAACCAGAAGACCCCTGAAGAAATGGAAGATCTATGAAGATTCTCCATGTCACACTACATGGGTACCAGTTCTCCCCTGGAAATTCTGCCTTTCAACCAAGAACCATCACACTGAACTTCCAAAGTTAAAGAAGCCAAGGAGGCCACAAGGGTTACAGCGCTCCACAAAACACCACAAAGGTGAGTTTTCTTGAAAAGGTAGACGGTTTTCCTGAACCTGGTAAAATCAAATGAGAACCACAGTGAGTTCTGTAGGCACACTGGCAGCATTGTTTCCCACACAAAGGGCTACAGGAGCCACTTGCTGTAACTTAGGTACTTAAGCAAGAAACAATACTTGAAGTTGCCCTTCTAAAACAGTTTTCTTTTTTAAAACAAAACAAAAACAACAAAACCCATCAGTTTTGAATGCCAGAATGATTGTCATCTCTGAAATCAATACTGTGTGTCCACCAACAAGATAAGACAGCCATATAGAAAGCTGGCTTTTCAGACACAAAACACCAAGACAGCACAGTTGATTTCAGCCAACAATCAACATCTTTCCTCCATGTACAGCTCTCACACTGCCAGCTGGAGGGAGGGAAATCCCTCTTGCTACCACTGTAAGGATAAAAGCAGCAACTGGCTCCACACCCTGCCTGGGAACCCTGCTCACACTAGAGGTCTTTTGGTCAAACACATCTGAAGACTCTCAAAAGGTAAAAGACAACAGCTCTAAATTTTTGAATATAGATGAAGAGAAGACAAGAGAGGGAAATGTTTCTCACATGGGGTTTAGAAACTAAGTGCTGTGAGGTTCCAGAACCATCCTTGGAGAATAAGGGCATTCACAGTTTGAACATTAGGTTCTTACAGAAGAGGTCAGAAAAGGGTAGGAACATGTCAGTTTTCATGGGAAAGCAGACTAAACAAGAAAACTCTTATCGAGTGGACAAGGCCTTGGCCTTCCAGCACATTTTATATCGCCATCCACATCGGAAAACTGTGACAAGTCCCCAAATCAATATTTTCCAGCGCTATCTTTAAAACTGATCCTTACCTCTTTCCAAATGATGGTATGCCACATGCCATTTCTTAACACTGTAAAAGAAAAAATGATGAACTCATTAATGTTGTCGAGACTCAAAATAAAAATGTCAGCTTTCTACAAACCCAAAGGTTTCTTGTGAAACTTGCACTTATTAAACCTAACAAATCATATCCTTGGCAGAATGGTAGATGACCAGCCATGCTGATATGGGCCTCCAAATGTGTACCTCTACAACATGTGAGTTTATGTGTGCATGTAAGCAAACCAAATTTATATTTAGCCCAGGACTAGAAAAGGCCTGGTGTTACATAATTCCAATAGCAGCAACAAAAACAAACAAACAAGCAAACAAAAAACTGAAGTGATATATAACCATGGCTGTGGAGCCAGGAAAACTTCTAGGGACATAAAACTAATCTCTGAAAATCCTGTTCCAGAGTACACAAATCCCATTGATATAAAGACTAACATTTTATTTTAGCCCTCTTCTATTTATTTAAGATTTTTCAGATAATGTTCCCAACTTAATCTCAACATCTATAACCATGATCAAGCATCACTGAAGCACAGGACTGGTTTCTGAATTCACAATGGAAAGAGTGACTGGACACAGCAGCTTACCTATTGTTTTCTTCTTGTTAACTGCATTGTCTGCCTTATGTCGTTTCTGTTACAGGAAAAAAAAAAGCAACAGTTCTTACATTCAAATGTTCCAAATGAATAATTGAAATGGAAAGCAGTAAAATCAGAGGGCAACGGGGGCCAGGAACACCTCGATGCTAATACTGTAGATTTAAGCGGGTGGTTTGCCATCAGTCAGCACTGACTAGATCTGGATGTGGCCCCTTGAAGCTTAAGTGGCAATACTTGGGTTCTAATAACTTACAAGCCCTTCAAAGTTTCAAATTCCTCACAGATATTTGTGGACAGCCAGAAATAATGGTTCCGTATTATAAGCCCAACAACAAAGAGCAGGTTTCACTCTCAAGTTAATTTACTATGTATTCCATGAAATATGTATATGGGGGGAATCAAGTGTGTGTGGGAGTGTGTGCACGCATGCGTACACTCCTGAGTAAAACAGAGATAATAGCAATGTGGTAGTAGCCAATGAGGGGTGAGGGAAGCATGAGGAGGAAGATTTTTTTTTTTTTCCGAGACAGGGTTTCTCTGTGTAGCTTTGGAGCCTATCCTCGTACTCGCTCTGGAGACCAGGCTGGCCTCGAACTCACAGAGATCTGCCTGCCTCTGCCTCCCGAGTGCTGGGATTAAAGGCATGTGCCACCAATGCCCATCTAGGAGGAAGATTCTTGGAGAATTACTTCAGGCATAACAGGCACAATGTTGCTTGCAGAGAGCGCTAATTAAAGGCTTCATGTGATACCTGAATTCAGGAGCTCTAAAGTAGGATACAAGGACTAATACCAGTGAACACCAGCCAAGTTCTAACAAAATGACCCAGAACATAGAAGTGCTTCAGAATCGCTGCACAGACGTTTAGGACTCTCGAAGTGTATCTTCCTCCCCAGCAAACACCACCACTCCCCTAGCAGCTGGTGGAGCTTAACTGCTTCCTGTTATACACTCACATACACCTCAAATGTCATAATACGATGTTCTAGGATGCAGAGTCAAAAACTTACATAATCTTCTACAATCTCTTTGATGCCTGCAATTGTTAAAATGATGATCAATGGCACCAGGGTGGTGTATCGTCCTGTTGGAGATACGTCTGGAATTTGCTGTAAGAGAACACAAGAGAGAATGTGGCACATGGATGTCTCCACAAAGAAGGAAAACACGGCACTCAACCCCCACTCTCACTAGTCTGGTCCATTTCCGTTACACAACAAAAGGCCTACTCATTTAAAAACTACCTATGTAATTTACATTTGAAGTTTATCTAACATGGCTGGCCATGTGTTTGGAAAATGGGTTAAAAGTATGACCTTCATGGCCAAAATCCAAAATACAAGATATATATATATATATGTATATATTTGACACTGGAATACCGTGTCTAGTAGAATGAATATGTATTAACAAAAAACAAAAAGTGAACATGACAAAGTATGCCCCATGAGAACCAGTTCCCCCTCCTCTTTTAGTAACTACTGTTTTCAAGGAATTCCCTCCCAAGTCTGTTCTAGACAAAGATCACGTCTGTTCACTCCAGGTATAATTTGATAAGGAAACTATCTGCAAATATTCCAGCACTTTTACCATAAAGATACTTGCTGATAAAATCTCATTTTGCACATAATTGAGTTTGCAAATTTTAAGTACTTAAAAAAAATTACCTGTAATAAGGCAATGAAGAGGAAGAAGGCATTAGCAGCTCTCCTAATCTGCTCATACAAGAATCGAGGTAGAAATGTCAACACGCTGTACTTGGCCGTACTGAAAGAACAAGGAAAGTACTACTATTAGCTAAAGAGGTAACCCTTAAATAACAACACAGTGGCCCCAACAGTATGTCCTGTGTAGAAGGGCACAGCCGATCAGAGAAGCTTCCGATGTGATTTTGGTTCAAACTTTGAAATGCACATTCAACCTTCCCAGGCAGTGACAATGAACAGTGATGAGTGCAGATTTGTGGCTGTCCAAGATGCTGGGGATAAGTGACAGCCATGAGCTCACCCCAAAAGAAGACATTTCACCATCCCCTCTATGGATCAGGGAACATTGCAGAAGAGGAGGCAGAAGTGTGAGAATCTGGGAGCTAAGAGTTGAAGAGCTGTGAAAGGCTATCCTCTAGACCAGTGGTTCTCAACCTGTGGTTTGCAACCCCTTTAGTGGTTGCATATCAGATATTTACATTATGATACATAACAGTAGCAGAATTACAGTTATGAGGTAACAAGGGAATAATGTTATGGTTGGGGGTCACCACAACAAGAGGAACTGTATTAAAGGGCCACAGCATTAGGAAGGTTGAGAACCACTTCTCTAGACTGGCTCGATCATGGCAATCATCAGCTCACAACTATGCTCTCTCACACTGGGCCATATAAAACTAGCTTTGGCAAAGATCAGTCACAGAAGCAGGAGGGGCTCACAGGCCCTAATGTTTACTACTGAAGTGCTGGCTGTTGACAGTTCTGGAAGAGAATCACTGCCCTTAGTTGTGTCCAAATTGCCCTGGCTAAACTCAGCAGGTCATAAACAAAACAAGTAGACATGAACACAGAGTCATTTGTGGAGAGGGGTGGAAGGGAGATGAGAGAGCTTCTGGAAATGACCATGAAACGAGCTGAAAGCCAGCAAGTGGTTTATTGTGTGTGTGCAATAGGGCCAGGGACATCAGTTCCAAAACTAAGCCCCATATTCAGTTAAACAGTTTTTGTATGCCCTCTTTTGTCCCCCTTAGCAATCTAGAGTGACATATTTTGATTGGATAACTAAGTTTGCTTAAAAGAATTTGCCTAAGTACCCTATATAAACAGAAATTTCCTCCAAACAGCAGAATTTACCATTTATAGGGCAGAGTGAAGGGAGAAGGAATTTAGTTACACACAAGTCATAGTGAGACACTCCAAGGGTGATAGACTGTTGCAAATGTTTATATTTATAGTATAACAAATGTTTCCTAAAGACACAAAGCTATTAAAAAAAAAAGAACGTATTTGCGGAGGGGAAAAACCAATTAGACATTGGACTTCTTGCTAGTAACACAGACAGCTAGAGAAACACTTCAGATTTTTACACCCAGACAAACTTCAATGGATTCTGCACATCCACCTTTTTGGGAAGCTCCTTACTGTACCAGGGGTATCAACAGAACTGGATAGCAATTACTGTCTTACTAGATCATTGCACACCACCTATGCATTGAAGAATCCCAGTGAACACCATAAGGGTATAAGTATTACATGCAATTAGTTTTTTTTTTAAAGAGAGGAAACATATATTGCAACTAAAATGTGGGTATATAATTCAGGAATATTCTGGGGTGAACACTTTACAACATAGCTACAGAGTGAGGAGCTCCCTAGTGTAGACATAGAGACTATTTGAAAGGATTATTTCCAAAATATAGAGAAGAGCCAATGTGAAGCTTAGCACTGGGGGCTCCCCGAGCATGCCAAGGTTCAATGCCTAGCACTGCAAAAAACAAAACAAAATACAAATACAGAGAGGTTGAATAGTATAAATATATAGAGATATTAATATGCAAAAGTTGTTTAAGCTGAAAGGTGAGGAGGGAAAAACAAGTTATACTAAAAAAGAAGTAATCATGATTGATCCACCACCTCACCAGCTAGCCCCAAGGTTGCTAAATCTTCATTTGTTAAAGAATTCCGTGAAGATAATTTCTAAACTTAATATTAAATTACAGTGAAGGACTGTGTAGCTCAGAGGCAGAATGCTTTCCTAGCATATGTAAGGCTTTGGGTCCCATCACCAGGGCAAAGATCATAATATACATACATTCAAGTATATGCACACACATGCAGAAAAACTAAATTTCTGATTCTAATTTTGATTGTGGTAGAATGCAACAGAAGAAATCAAGACAGAGTTCAAAGTGGTTGTTTCCAGTAGAGTATTCCAGAAAGAAGAGATGGGGCTGGACATTATTTGCTTATTTTCATGATAAGCCCATCTGACTATATGAACTTTTAACAACCTGTATATGCTGTTCTCATACTAATTTTATATCATCTGTGAAAAATTAAGGAGTATCCAGATAGAACTAGGAAGGTACATCTTTGGGGTAATTTTAGAATAACCACACATCAGGAGCTGTTTATTAGAAGATGATGTTGGGCTAAAGGACCCAACTTCTTGTTCTATTACCCCCACCACAGAATGGCCTGGCAACCCCTCCCATCTGACACTGCATCCAACAATCAGTCCCTCTGTCCAGCAGCCATGGAGGAGCCCCAGGCTCATGGATGGAAGGAGGAGAAATTCTGTCCTGTCCCACAAGGGCCTGACAAGCATTAGCACTCTGATACACATTTGGATAAATTCTTTTGTCATACTGCTTGGAGATAAGCTGGATGGACCTCAGCACCAGGCTCCCTTCCCTGCTTCTCCCTCCCTCAACCACCCCCAGGAAATGCAGAGCACAGCCCTTCTGTAAGTGGAAGTCACTTTATTCTGAAGAGTGCTAGTCCTTGCTAAGTTTTCTGGCTCCTTTCATCCTCTGCCAAATTCCCAAAACATTTTTCTTTCTTCTTTCCATCAAACCACATCCTCCTTCTCTAGACCAACAGCCCACGGGTCACCTACTCCAGCAACCCTTTCCCCATTCAGGTCAATGCAACAAGTACAGTGTGTTTATCAACTCACCCATTTCAACACAGAGTAGATGAGACAGTGAGACAGAGAGCCAGGCAGACAGTCTACCAAAGTGTATATATATATATATATATATATATATATATATATATATATTTTTTATATTATATTATATTTGGCAATCTTTAAGACGATCACATCAAACATCCTGTTTAGACCCTCTCTGTGCCTTGCAGGCTAAATGAACCATGCAGGCAGACCAACAGCACAGTGCCCTCTGCTGGTTAGCAGCACAGCGGCACTTTGTTCAACACAACACTGCTGTGTGGCTCAGCAATTCCACAAATCCTACAAAACATGACACTTACAGCACTACCTCAGTGTTTCCCAACCTATGGGTCAAATGGCCCTTTAATGGGGGATCACATATCAGATATTTATGTTACAACTCACAGCAGTAGCAATATTACAGCTAAGAAGTAGCAACAAAATAATGTTATGGTTGGGTGCTGTGGAATAATCGTCTTGTACACTGCAAAGACTTGTCACTCAAATTGGTTTAATAAAATGCTGACTGGCCAATAACCAGGCAGGAAGTATAGGTGGGGCAACCAAACTGAGAATGCTGGGAAGATGAAAGGTGGGGTGAGGAGTCACCAGCCAGACACAGAAGGAGCAGATGAACGTGCCATGCTAATAAAGGTACCGTCATATGGCAGAAGATAAATAAGGAATATGGGGTAATTTAAAATGTAAGAGCTAGTTGGTGATAAGCCTCAGCTGTTGGCCAAGCATTTATAATTAATATAAGCCTCTGTGTAGTAATTTGGGAAGCAGCTACCAGGACAGAAACTTCCAGTTTCAATTGGGGGTCATTTCAACATGAAGAACTGTATTAAAGGGTCACAGCAATAGGAAGGTTGAGAAACACCACACTACAAAACAACATGCTAGCCATTCCTACAAAACTCTATCTTTTCCTTTAACTTACTATAATGTACAAACCTAGAACTATATTCAAATTTCGTGGGTCCTGGATGCAATTGCACATACAAAAGTGGATGTGATAGTGAAAAGCTCACAACACAATACAAATGCTCATAAGAGGTTTCCTCGCAATATAATAAAGATCCTTGCAAGTCATTCTTTTTAATGGTTACCTAATATTCTATAATTTACTGTGATTTTATCATGAACATTGCTTTATTACATCACAATAAATACCTGCACTCGTATGCTCACGCATTTAGGTAAACATAATTTTGTAAAACAGACTACCTGAAGCAGGATTAGCAACTCGAAGCAGAATGTGGCTCCTTAAAGGTAGCAATTCACATTTCCTACATTCTAACGAATAGGTTTCTAGTCCCAGAGGATCATAGACATGATTATAATATGCAACTCCCCAAACATATTTTAATTTATTTTTTTATTTTTTTCCAAACATATTTTTAAACTTCACACTTTACACAAGAGGAACTCAACTGCTACTTCGTGCCTCTGTCTTATGATGCTGGGGACTCAGGACCTGAACATGGCAGGCAAAGGGTCTTCTCCCCTAGCAACAACCTAGGCCATCTCATTTCTAACAGTAGTGAATGGGAGCATTCTTATAGGATACCCTTCAAACAATAGGTGACAATAGTTTTTTTTTCAGTGCTAGGTCTCATGTCAATAATGTAGGACTCATATCAATAATGTATCACTGTTACATAATTGTTTCTTGATTATTATTAAAGTAAAGCATGCCTTCATAAGACAGGGGCATATGGCTTTACTCCAGTATCATTTCCTCATATATTTTACTCATTTCACCATGTGTGTGTGTGTGTGTGTGTGTGTGTGTGTGTGTGTGTGTGTGTGTGTGTGTATGTGTGTGTCTGTCTGTCTGTTTGCATGCATGCACCTGTGTATGAACACCAGAGCAAGACTTCAGATATCAGCTATGAGGAGCCAAACAGACCCCAGACTTTCTCCAAGGTCCTGATGAACAGACAAAGTGAACTTCAGTTCTATGTCATTATCCAGGACTTGGCCATGCTGTCTGGGGCTGGAGCCAGTGCTTTGAGAGTCAAGGTTGTGGTTTCTGTGCAGCCAACTCTTTCCTTGGGCTGAGGTCATCAGTCCTAAGTGTCTGAGATATCCCAACTTCT